CTCTGCTGCTGTTTTTATTTTGTTTTGTTTTTTGATCTAGAATTCCTGCCTCTTGTAATACTGAAAGGTGACATTCAGCAAGAGTAAGTTTTGAGGATTACACAATGACCAGAATAAGTATTTCTGAAAAGAAAAATAGGGCAATTCATGAAATCTGTAGGTAAATGTGACAGAATATTTACCCTGTGTTTGGTACGAATACAGTGTCGAGGGCCACCTTCAATCCTTCAGCCAACTGCAAAGAAAAACAAAGTTGTCGTTTGCTCAGGACTCTGCTGAAAGGTTTTTTGCCTTATTTTTTCAACACATCAACACATAAAAGGTTACTAAGAGATTCTTGGTTAAGACTGGGCACAGCTTCATGGGACAAATCGTGTCCCACGTTCAACTGTTCCGCCCTTTCCGTAACAGCCCCTTCCTCTTACCTGATCCTCCACGGACACTTCTGTTCCCAGCGTGTTGTCCGTGTTCCATTTCTGAGTGAACGTAAGTCCACAGTCTTTGAGCTTGTATTTGGTCTCTAGATTCCCCGAAGCCTTCCCAGTATCTGTGTTGGAAGACCCAGTTGCCGTAAATTCCTGCCAGGAGCAAAACATGAGAGGCAAAACAACAGGGGAAGAAAAAAAGCAGTTTGATGTATGTTTTTCTACTGCAAAATTGAAATGATTATTACGAAATTTAGGAACTCACACTGTATCTTCTCCTGGCTCCCTACACACACTTACTCACTTAGGAGACAAACCTCTTGTATTCTTTGGTTTTCTCAGAAACTTCTAATTCCTCTAATTCTCTAACTCCTCTTGATATCCTCACTTAGAACATTTGTATACATTGATGTAATACATTCAATACGCTTCAAAACCTTTTAAAATTACAACAGTTGTGTCTAAGTACACAGGAAAAGAAAAAGAATCCATCAAAAGAGAGAAAAGTAACAAAGCAACAAAAATCCCCCCCACCAAAATCTTACCAGCTGGATAAATATCCAACATGAAAGTTGCATGGAAAAGGAAAAGCACATTTTAGTACTTAAGAATACGGTTCTGCATAGTCTGTTACATTTGGAAGACAATGTAGAGAGCTATTACCATTTTATTTGAGAATCAAAACTTCCTGCCAGGAAAATTATGCATATTCCGAGATGCCAGTAACTGATTTCAGCCACAATAAAGAGACCACACAGTTCCTCGTGCCCACGTGTGCCCGCTCCACGATGCAAGTAATCCATCAAAAACACAATTCAGACAGTGTACAAGAATGCAGCTCTTTACTAAACGAATGACTTGAGTCGTTTATGCAATAGGAAGGCAAGAGAAGGAGGGAGCTCAAGCAAATATGGTTGAGAGGGGCTGAAAGGAACCGAAACTCATGCCAGAATAAGCCTCTCTGGTATAAAATACATTTGCACGATTACAGCCCCAAAACCACAAAATCCATTCCTGGCTTTGCCAATATTCCTGTGAAGCCGTGAGGATGTAAGTTCTATTTCTCCACCAGTATTACAGGAATTATAATTATGGTTATCTAAGTGCTGTAAAGCTTAAATAATGCTTACAAAATGCTACCTAAAAAGTACTGCAGGGGTACTATTCATTTCTAATTAAGTCTAGCATTGTAAGCATGGAGGAGAAGCCTGAAAATTAGGTCAAGTCTGCCTCCTCATTTTTTGGATAAAAAGTCAGTTTGGAGGCAAAAGCCTACAAATCTTGTAATAAAATGGCAGAAGAACTCAGCTAGAAGGGAGAGACATTTAGGGCGAAGAAACTGTTGTTTGGGGATGTGGCAACAGGAATTCTTGCACACCACAGGAAAAGAAGTACTGAAACATGAGTTTGACACGTCTCTGTGGAAATACATCAGCTGAGAACTAAGAGAGTAGAGCAACAGCTCCTGGGTATTGCTACCATTTCAGGAGCCCGTCCCCCGCCTTGCAATCCCTCCCCAAAAATCCCATCCCCTAAAACTTACCACTCCGCTGGAAGACTTGGTCTTCAGCTCTAGCTTGACCATTCCGAATCCTGAAAGAAGAAGAGGACACAGCTTCTTGCTTCACCGTAACGGAGCCTGTTTCTACACTCCACAAGGATCACTGGCCTGAAAGCAGCCGAGGATTCCAACAGGTGTTGATCTTGCTGAGGAACCATTAAGGGACTTGGACAATTCCAAGTGGATGGGCGCCTTTCCCATCCGGATATCACAGGGCATTCTTTTTTTCTTTAAAGGATACTGAAAATGTTTATTTTTCTTTAAAGTATTAGCAAGAACTGGTAATTTTTTAGCATATAAGGTGCCCTGACAGCCATGGCCATGCATAGGACAGGCCAGAGGATTTTACCCATGATTTTCCTTATAAATTTCTAGTAAATTTTTGATAAGCAAAGGTATATTTTCAGAAGATTCTATAACCATGACTTGAAACTTCCAATGACAGGAATTGTGGTGCTTCTTAATAACTCATGTCAGTATTTGCAGCACTAGTGATTACGTTGCTGTGACAGTCTCAGAACAGATGCATCATTTATATTTAAACACATATATCATATATGAAGCTGCATCACTTCCTAAACCAACTATTTTTAGTGGAAAAAAAAAGCAAAAGGAGCTTTCAGGCAGGCAGCTGCCTTCTCAACAGATTATCAAAGCACAGACACATCACTTACCATAGCCCTTATTGAACACATCCCTGGCAGATTTCCCCAAGTCGCTGTAGGAAGGTGGGACAGCCATTGGATCTGAAACATGTTGGACGTTGTAAGAAACTAAATTTAACAGCACAAAATCTAAACTCTATCCCAAGATTCATAGGCAGGTATCACTAGTACCTTCTGTGTATTTTGGAGATACAGAAGGCAAGAGCAAAACCTCTGAAGGGTGTTTAGGAAGGTCGGCCTTGCGCCGACGCTTTCGTGACCGGTACCTTTGTGACAAGGACCCCAAGGACACAAGGACACAGCAGGGATGTCCCCCCTACAGCCGGCTCACACACACGGGGACATGCACCGGAAAGGGGCAGCCAGCACGGAGGAGGCTTCCGCGTGGTTTTAACGGGAATTGCCGCCTCATCCTTCCTACAGCTGACATCAGAAACCTCTGAGCCCCACCTGCTATTATATCAGACCAAAAAATGATCCAATAAAATAATAATGCAGGAAAAACATGTAAAACCTCTAAAATCATCACTCTTCCCCAATTTTATCCACCTACCCTTCTTTTCTACTCTATTGTAATACTGCTGTTTTTACTCCCTATTTCTTATTGATATCTCCTATTTCATGATGATGGAGTTCTGATTTTGAGTCCTGCTTTCAGCAAAAATCTCACAGATATTCCCTGCCAAGAAATCTATTACTGTGGCACCTTCTGATATTGCTTTCTAGAAAAAAAACATTAATCGAAACACAAATAGTTTTGCAAAGCAGTCAGCTTCTCTGAGACAAATGCAACGGGATCTTTATTAATCAATCTTGCTTTCCTTTCCCAAAATGAAGTATTCTGACAATTTGCATCCTCTGGTGGACAAATGCACTGTGGTTGATGACTTGATAGCTAACCTGTACTATATATTGATCTATATATACCTGTGGGTTTAGAGGAGTGACAGGTGGCCATCACTGCAGATTCCTTATCTGAGAATTAGGACATAAACCAGGTATTTCGCAATATGAATATGTAAAAAGGCCCTTCTACCTGTCAGAGATGGAGTTAAAGTAAAAATTGGTGAACCATTTAAGATGAATAACACAGAATACGTCCTTTTACAACAGCTTAGTTCAAGTTATTACAACAGATTTGGCCACACAGCAACACAGTAGATTGCCCTTTGTTTTTAAATATTCCCTTTTTACAAAAGCTGCCTTTTGGGGAGCAGCCCAGCCATCGATGGCTCCACAACCTTACGGCCTGGGGCTGGCCTCCAAACCACAGCCTCTATTTGCAGTTTTCTCTGAAAATACTCTAAGAAAAGGAGCCTTCCGCCCTGCTCAACGCAGCTTCACGTCTGGTTCTCAGTCCCGATCTCATTCCCCTTTGCCTGGCACCCTGCTCTGCTCTCACCTTCATAAGGTTATCGAGACATCCTGGGTATTCAGGATTATTAATTATTATAATTATTACTTTAACCACATTCCCTGTATCCACACCACACAGCTCTATTTTCTGTGTTCCAGGGGCTCCAACAGAGACACTAAACGCCATAAAATGACTATTTACTCATTATCTTGGGAATTACCAAAGCAATAACCATTGACGCCGCATCTCGCCACCCCCGCGCCGAAAGGACCCTGCCGCAAGGCAGGGAAGGGAACACAACCCAGAGCTCTAGGTGCTTAAAATACGCGTAAAAATATCAATTTTAAACTACTTCTCCTCAAGCGACACCCCCCACACCTCTCACAAAAATACATGTTAACACAA